GTTAGCCCTGGCCGATGCAGGCGGGCTAAAGTTAGCCCTGGCCGCTGCAGACGGGGTAACGTTAGCCCTGGCCGCTGCAGACGGGCTAACGCTAGCCCTGGCTGTGGTTAGCCTTGGAGGTCAGCTGGTTGCTGCGGTCCTCTAAACATCGTAACTTTTTTTAAATTCTGCACTAAATCAGTAAATGTTCCATATAGTGAAGCTTAAAGTTTAATATTTTCGCCTCAAATGATCTAAAATTGTACTTTTATTGAGCAACAGCAGCAGAAAGAGAACTTTTAACTTAATCCTCTGAGCTCTGTGAGCGCTAACCTGGAAGCTGCTGCTGCAGTGCATGCTGGGACAGCTGTCAGTCTGGAGAACGGACAAGTCTGCTCTGATGCATGCTGGGTAAAGAGGGAGGGGCCAGAACAACATCTGATTAGTGTGCAGAAGGTTTTATTGAGGCTCCATCAGAACCAGACGACACCAAACAGGAAGTTCCTCTTAGAAAATCAAACAGAAAACTTTCATCAGATCGAACAAAAGCAGCAGAAACAAAACATTTAGAAACTGAAAGAATCGGCGACTGAAACATCTGAGGAGCTTCCTTCAGAACGTAGAGTTTCACTTCATGGTTCCTGGAGTCAGAGGGGGGACGTCCCGCCTGGACCTGCTGTCTCAGGCTCAGACGGTGTGGGACGGTCCTCTGCTCAGGTAGGTCTTCAGGGTGGAGATGAGCTCGCTCTCCTCCTCCAGGGTCAGGTCCAGATAGTCCTCCTCGTGACGGGAGATGTCCTCCAACACCTCGTTCACCAGCTCGCTGTCCTCTGAAGGACAAACAGGGAACACTTAGAGGACATGCCCGCTGGCGCCACCCGCTGGACAGAGTTCACAGCAACCTGTTAGAGAGACACACCTGGGGAGCTGGACGAGGAGCCGGCCTCCTCGGTAGAAGGAGAGGAGGAAGACGAGGAGGTGGAGGGTGGAGACAGCAGGTCTGGGGACAGGACGCCCTGATTGTCCAACAGCAGCTGGGTCGCTGACTGGACGTCGTCTCCTGTCAGCCTGAGGGCTTCTTCAGCCGAGGGTCTGTCAAAGCCCAGATACAGCAGCTGGAGGGACAGGGAGGGACAACATCTGGATCAGAGGGTGGAGTCAGGGGGACAGGGCGACCTGTGGACAGACACAGAGGAGGGAGGACAGCTGTTGGACAGATGCAGCCTCACCTGCTCCACCCTCTCTGGGCTGACCGTCTCCTGGGAGCTGCTCCGACCCGCCTGAGAGTCCAGCAGAACCTGAGAACAGACAGAGCCATGAGCGACCGGCAGCGTCTGGTTCTGATGGACGGACTGAGCGGAGACTGACGGAGTACGCTTTGTCCACGTCCCCCTCGGCGTGGTGCAGAGCTCTGGCTGCGTCTGTCCTGGAGAAGCCCAGCTCCATCAGGCTGCTGATGGCCTCCATCCTTGTCCTCCTCTTCCGTCTCTCCCTCTGCTTCAGCTCCTCGCGCTCCTGGTCCAAACAGAGGAACATTCAGGGCTACAGAACCGCGCATAACAGAACCAAACCAAGATCAATGGGTCAAAGGTCAACGGCACGATTCTGAGATCCCAGAACTCAGGAAAGAGTCCAGATCTGAAGGAACCAGAAAGTTCTGAAGGTCTCAGCTTCTAACCCAGATATGGTGGTACCTGCCGCTGGTTGCTGATGTGGATGGCGGCCTCCTGCAGGTCTCCTCCACAGGCCCGGAGTCCCAACCGGGCCTCCCGCTCCGTGAATCCAAGAACCAGGAGCTGCGACATCTTCTCCGAGTCTGGAGAAAGACGTCCATACAGGTCCTCCACCTGGGAACGAGACGTTCTATCATAGAACCATCATAGAGACGGAACCAGAACACAGCTGGACCATGAGAACAGTGGAACAATCGGGTCTAAATGTGGAACATTGAACCCTCTAACAGTGGG